TTTCTTAGGAGAAAATGAAAAGGAGATCTATAGCTTATGCAAGTTTGAAAACCACAGGACTATCAGATCCTTGTAGCCCCTATTTTTAAACTATTTCATGTTGTATGTTAGCCTATAAAAATTGTCATGACACTGTTGAAATAGAAATTTTTCAAAAATGTTTCAGTGCTGTTTCTGGCACAAACAACTCTGTCTTTTTGAGTTTATATTTATATTCTCCTCTTAGAGAAAAAGAGGAAGTAGAAGCTGAAATCTAATTTTAAAAAAAACCTTCAGTCAATCCAGGGCTAGACATTGTATGCCACTGCTGGCTTTATATTAGAGCAGCCAATCGTTTACTTAAGAGAAGCATAAGTTCAGTTTATTTGGAAAAATCATCAGTCAAGGCAGCATAGATACAAGGTTGTTCTCAAGAGAAGGCTACTGATGTTACCATGCAGAAAGTTTAAAAATTTTTACCTGGCTACCAAGACTAGCAGTTTCCTTCTATATCAAGATTTCGATGGTTGTTGTCACTGAATATACACGCTTCAGATGGTTTTCAATGTTTTCCTTTATCTAGCTTTCTGATTTTTCTACAATGATCATAGTTTGTTAATAACCAAGAAAAAAAAATCACCAAGCTACCAACCAACACATCCTTCACCAGGGCTGGGAGGGATAGGGGCTAACAGGATAAGCCAGGCCCAAGCTTGGCAAAAGCGGAGGTCTCAGAGCAGCTCCTGACTCTTGACAGAACTAAATCTGGCCCCAAAACCTAGAAGTGCAGAAGTGCAGCTCCCCCAGTGGCTTCCCAGTATATAGGAGCAAGCATCCATGAATCCCAGACCACATTGCCCTTTCAACTTTTAACATACAGCCTTGCACTTACAGCCCCACCTGTGCGATCTAGCCTACCGGGTAGGACATTGCGTTTGAACACTTACTAGGTGTGTGACCTTGAACAAGTCAATTAGCCTCTCTATTTCTGTTTTCTCATCTATAAAGTAGGACTCACACTACCACCTACCGCCTAGTATGACTGTAAGGATTAGGAGAGATGACTCACAGCAAGGGCCCAGCATGCAATAAAATCACAATAAACATAAGCCACTATTACATCTCTGCCATGAACACCAGCCCTCAATCGCACTCTGTAGTCACGCGCCTGGGTCGCCCCCCCTCCCCCCCACGTGCCTGGGTTCCAAAAGAACTGGAGAAGGGTCCAAAGAATAAAGCCTTTCTTTTCCCTTCACCTCTGCAGAAGGCAGGACGGGAACATAGTATCTGCTGTAAGCCCATGGCTCTAGGGAGCAATGGGAAGATAAGGGTAACCCAATAAAATATGCAGTGTGTCCAGGGCCTCACACTACAGACCAGAAATCCTGCTTCACAGTTACAGGAGTCCTAGTCTCTTGCCACTGCCCCAGCTGCCAACTGCTGCCTTTGGCAAGGAGATACATGACTCAAGTGTGAGCTCGGACTTGGCAAGGGGACACCAAAGCAGAAGGTCTCCAGGCAAGAAGCTCTCCCGAAAGGGGCACCTGCTGCCACATTTGTCTACAGGCAGCCCTCAAGACAGCGGTGGCATTCTGCTTCACTAGCATATTCCAATAAGACTAGTGAACATTGCAAAGGTCCAACACAACTTCCCATCCTGGCTCCCTAACTCTGAAAAGCTGGCAGGGGGGCCAGGCTAAAGGTATGAGCACACACTTGAAATGACTGCAGTGCCTTAATTATATGACATAAAGAGCAGGCATTAAGAGCAGCCACCAAAAGCTCAACAGCAAATCAAATTGCAGAGTTCCACGGCTATCTCAAGCCAGAATGCATTACATTTGTATGTAATAGAATTTTCTTTCCCAACTTAAATTTACCTCACTTATCAAAGAGATAAACAAACCTAATAATGTCCATCTAGGAGGAACAGTTACATTATTATGTTAATTACATAGTTGAGTGTGTTCTATGCTATACAGAATGATCAAGTTGTCTCAGCTTTATTTTCCCAGATTTAGTAACAAAAGTCCCACATCCTCGGAAACCCCTCAGTCCTTGGCACACTGGGATGACTGGTGCTCTAAATGCTGTAAGAAAAAAATGATGTGTGTTGTGTGAAGAGGAAAACAGAAGAGATAAGCTTACAAATGCAGAAGTGCTAAATGCTGTTTGTTGGAAGCAACAGCTCCCAGTTCCTTCTCATAGTAAAAAAAAAAAAAAAAACACAAAGAACAAAAAACTTGCCTGTCCCCTCCACCACTTTCCTTTTACTTTCTGAAAACAGAATTCAGAAAAGGCATGTTGCTCCCCTTGCATGATGGAGACATCAGTGCAGGATCCACTGCTTAAGTGATGACTGTCATCACCCCAACAAGCTCCTGCACCCAGTTGCAGCAAGACAGGAAATGCCATCTTGTTTCACTCCTTATTTTGGGCACATTTCAAAACAAACCAAGACTTGTAATTCAGGTTATCAACAGCAAGAATGTGTCGAGGAAGTCAGTATGTCAAGCTAAAGCAAGAGCCATAGCAAAAATCAAGATTCACTTTACAGACAGGGCATTAAAGAGATGATGGACAAATTAAGTCAGTATTTCAGCAACAGCTAAATGGAGAGCTAGGCACCCTTCTACAAACTCTAAGGCAGAGATTCCAAGCTGGGGGCTCCCCACCCACAATGACAGAGCAAAACTCTTGTAGTAGGAGTTTAAGTAAAGGGGTTTTTAAGCCCCTAGTGAGGTTACGAACTGGCAACTAAGAATTTAGTTTCCAACTGAAAGGTAAGACTATATAAGGCAAGAAAGACCACACACTTCCTGGACAGAAGCCACACAGAAATCATCTTTGCTCACCACTCAACCCCGCCCCACTCAGACCACCTCCTCACCCAGCCTCCCATTGGCTGTGTCCCAAGATAGGCTGGAAATTTTTTAATGTTCCTGAATCTTAGACCTCCTCAGATTCCTTTTATATATCAGGCTATAGAACCAAATATAAGTTATGTGACACTTTGTCTCCATAATACTACTAGTTTGTTCAGAGAGGAAAGGGATGTATTGAGAAACATTTTAAAAGACAAACATTTTTTAAAGTTCTATTCTGAAAAGTCCTGAAGAGTAACTTCTTTCTAAGACCAAAAAAAATACACTTTTCACTAGTGTTCACCTGGATTTAGGAGAGGATGCCTTCTTGAAACCCTTTCAGTATATCCATTGAGAAGACAGAGGAATCTTACAAACTCTAGTAGAGCCGAGAAGGCAGGAGACAGAAGGTAGTCTCAGCTCTCAGGGCAATAGTGTCGAGCTTGAGGAAAACACGTTTTACTTCTCTAGACAGCAGATTCTGGGATTTCATTTTTAAAAATGAAGGCTTTGGGTTACAGCTCTTTTAGAATTTGTCTAGTAGGTTTTCCAGTTCTTTCTGGAAAGCCCCCCAATAAAAAAAAAATTTTTTTTAATGAAGGCTTTGGGCTAAGATCACCTTTGGCATCCCTTACAAGTCTAAAATTCTATGTGAAATTCTTTTGTGTATGTGATAATAACAGTAACGCCCATTAAAAGCCTTTTTTGTTCTCTGAAGATTTAGGTACTAACAAACAATAGTAACTTGCACCAGTAAAATGACAAGACCAAGACAGACCAAAACTGAAAGATTTAAAACAAGCATATATCTAACGGTTGTTGAAGTATATGATCAAAAGGTGGGGGATTCTAGTGTCAACTCACAACACTTCTAAATGCTCTGGAACCGGTGGGAGCAAGTAGTCATCACAATTACCAGCTGCTCTTCTTACTAAATTTAAGGATAATATGAATTTTAATTGTGATCCCTCCCACACAAAAGAAGGAAAAAAGCCTGTAAATAGTGAAAACAAACCAAAAATTTGAATCGAAATGGCAGGAGAACAAATAATTACAAATCATTGTGGTGACTGACTGTATTTAGGCAGCAGGATATTCTGGCTGGATTCTGAGGACAGGGAGGCACCAGATGCGACCCACTCCACATGAATGAGAAGTTTCGTACCAAGGACTGACATGTTTGTGTGTGTCAAAGGCAAGACTGCCTCTCCGCCTACCAGGACCTTAAAACAACGTTCAACTCATTATCCATGAAAAAACGGCAGGGGGGGAAAAAAGCAAAATGTTTCCTTTTTTCGTGGTAGGAGCTGCAGAGTTTTGTCGTGCAACTTGGTGTCAATGTCCTGAGAGTGTCAATGTCCTGAGAGCAGCAACGTCTGCACGGCGGGATGCTCCCATTCCACGGACTTGCAGCAAGGGCTGCCCCCTCTCCGATTCGGCAATAAACCCCACCTCTCCAAGCCAGGACTCCTAGAGCTGCCCTGTATGGTGGCTCAGCCGGGAAAGCAACAAAGCTGATGGACACATGCGGAGGGCAGCCCTAGCCGGCCGTACTACACCTCCTCCTCCCGAGAGGCGGGCCAGGGCCGAGAGCGCCGTCTCCAAGGGACCCCATCGCGCACCACGCACACACAGCCTCTGGGCTACGAAAGAGGAAGTCAGGATGTCATGTCAAGTGGATAAAGACAGTTCGACCACGCAAGAGCCGCGGTCTGGGCCGGTCTCTGCCTGGCTCGGGGAAGGGTCCCCGGTTGCGATCCTTTCTCCCTCTCCATCCACCGTCCTCCTCCCAGCGGCGCGGACGAGCCTCCCTCGGCGGCCCGGGCTGGCGGAGCCCCCGCTGCGCTGCCCCGGAGGAGGCGCAGGAGCACCCCGAGCCTCCCCTCCCCCTGCCCAGCCCGGCCGGGCGGACAGCCCACCCGCGCGCACCGCCGGCCCCTGTCCCGGCACCCGGCGGGCGCGAGCCGCGCGCAGGTCCGACGACCCAGGGCGGTCACGGCGCGGGGCAGGAGAGCCGCAGCGCCGGCTCGCGGAGCAGCGGGCGGCCGCACACACTCCTCCCGGCGCCGAGAGTAAACAGCCCACGGGCGCGCTCGGCGCCGCGCCCCCACCCCTCCGGGGCCCCGCGTCCCGCCCGCCGGCGCCGCCGCCCCCTACCTGGTCGGTGAGTTTGAGCACTGCCATTCTTCAGCTCGCTCGCGCGCGCACACATGCAGGTCCCCGGTGCGCAGATGTCACGCCAGGAGCCGGGCGAGCGGAAGGGCTTGCCAGGGGAAGGGAAAGAAATCTGGCTCCCGAATTTGACAGCCCTCCCCCTGCTCCTCCTCCGCCGCCGCCTCCTCCCGCCGAGAGGCTGACACTGGCTTGTGGGGTTTGCAGCCGAGCCCGCCCGCCTCTGCACAGGAAGTGCCGGCTGCTGCCAGCCGGGCCGCCACTGACATCACCGCGCGCCGCTCGCTCGCGGCCGCGCCGCCTGGGCCGACGCTGCCTCCTGCCGCCCGCAGCTGCGCCTCGCAGCCCGCGGCCCCGGGGCTCTCCTGCGCCCGCCCTCGGCGCGCCGCCGTGGGGCCAGACTGCCGCCTGCTTTCCGCCCCGGCGAGCCTTGGCCCCCACGCTCAGAGGCGCCCCCTCCCCAGGCGTGCCTCACCCGCCTACACACTCACGGACACAAACCGGGGAGCCAGCCCGTGCGGACACACCCCGAGGGGCAAGAAGGGCTGCCGTTCACCAGCCACCAACTTGAACCTGAGACGGGACCACACCCCTCCCCTAATCCGGAATTGGATGGCGCTGCTCTCCAAATTATCCCACCTGGGTCAGGGCGTAACTGCGAGGCTCTCTTTGTTTAATGCGGGGAAGCACTGAACACGGTGTGTGTTTCGCAAGTGATGGTCATACACTTGCGAGGTGGGGACAGGGGCTCTGGCCCTTCCACCGTGGGTCCCTAGCCACTTCTAGGAAGACACACACACAACCCCATCCTTAAGTTCAAACACTGGGTTTTGATTTGAGGAGGATGGAGGTAGAGCAGTTACTGGAGAAGAAAACAGGTCCTAAATTACTTCATTAATGGGGCTGTTGAGTGTTTCTACCAGTCTTGACTCACTTCTCTCAATCCAATTACCATGCTCTTCAACAGATAGAAGAGTCAGCTGTCAAACAACATGGGACACAAATACCATGGTAATATTCTTAATCATAGTAAAAGTTGATACCTCTGGAATTCGGAGCAAATTCATTCAATTTACCCATTCAACAACTGTGTACCGAGTGCCTGTTTTGTACCAGATACCAGTTGGGCACTGGATGAAAGGGGGAGCATAACCAGGAAAGATACCTCCCTTTAGAGGGTGTCTGACATAAGCCACAAAGTCGCCATGAATGAATGTAATTACAAACTTAGATGAGGGATCATGGGGGGGCAGGGGGGAATGCTTCTGAGGGAATCCAACACAAAGGAATGAGACCAGTGTGGTGGGTGAGGGCAGGCTTCCTGAGAACATGACAAAAGCTGAGCTTCTGCAGGAAGAGTTAGGTCGGCAAGTCGGGGGGCAGGGGGGAAGGGGTGGTTGCTGCTCCCGGGCAGCTCCACTTGGGAGCCGCCCCTGGTGCGCCACAGAGCGAACCTGCAGGGCAGTAGCATTGCAAACCAGACCAGAGCTCTTGGGTCAGGACCAAAGAGCTACCCTTCATTCACAAATTAAAGTAGACCCTTCCTACTTTCTGAATCTCTCCAAAGTTACCATGTGAGAAAGGAGAGAAGGGAATGGCAGCATTTGTGTAGCAGCCTCGCATTAATCATCTAACCTTGGAATCATAACTCAGACCATGCAGACAGTGGGAACTAAGGGAGCTTGCTCCTGGTTTCTACTCCTCCACCTTCAGTGATGCTCAGAGACAAAAAGGATTTCTCTCCAAGGCCTCCCTCAAACACAAAAGAGATTGCTTTTGTTGCTTCTATGAGGTAGTTTGTATAGAAATCATATTAATATATTAATTACATATTATTATGTATTATCAATATCATCCTGCATGGCTTTATAAGTAACTAACTATAGTCATCATGTAGAAGAGTGACAGGAAATTATTTAAATTGGTGTTGGGGGGCCAAAGGCGGGCTACCCCAACATGTGCGCAATGGCATGCAGATTCTGTCCCAGCTGAAAACAAGGCCCAAAAGACTCAGAAAGACACTTAAACCTTCCCTCCCTGCCCACCACCCCACAACTGCATAAAAGGAATTTAGGTGGAGGAACTGCTCTAGGAGGAGAGCTGTCACCATGGATACTACATTACACTAGGTATTGTAGACAGGGAGGATGGTGGCAACGTGTGTTAAAATGCCTGTCTTTGTCCCATTGTCCCAAATGCCTCTGTGGCCCAATGAACCTTTGATAACCAAACATTTACTCTTTCATATTCCTGTGAATTACTTCCCTTTCCCTTTGAAGTCTCAGGCTCCTACCACCTTCTCCTTAGCTCAGGATGACATATATATATATACCTCACTGTCCCTGATGGTCTTTGGAAGCTGTCTTTGGATTCCCCATACTACATAATTAAACTTTGAGTTTTTCTCCCATTAAAGTGTTTCATGTCAATTTGATTCTTAAGCCAGCTAGAAGAACCTCGAGGGGTAGGGGTTCCTCCCCAGCAGGTGATGCACTCAAGATCCACTTTGGTTCATTATGTGCATGCCTGTACATGAGTTCTTGAGGCCCAGTTTGAAAAGAGGGAGCCATTCTCAATCCTATCAGACGCATCATCCTGTTTTTAACTAGTATTTTTTTAACACTCCCCTTATATCCTGAAATGAAATTCACAGATAATATTACCTACCTATGCAAATTTCCTCAAAGATTGATATAATGTCCTAAATGTGTTAATAAAGGAAAATAATCTGTAGTTAATGTGCATTTCAATAAGTAAATGCTACAGCACAGCTCTATTAGAAGACAAAGTAAACAGTATGATGCTTTCACCTGTATCTAGACCCATTATGAATGAGAGGCCTACAAATGCAAACCGGTATGAATGTGTTGTATTAGCAACTCAAATAGCAATATTCATGTTATCATAGGTGACTTACCTTTGTGAAAGGCTGAACAGTTCTTGGTCAGGTTCCAGACAAAATGAAGAGCAAGTGAGTGGACTATATTTATTGGTATGGATGCATTTGCCAGATATTCTGGGTTTAATATTTTAGCTCATGCATTGACAGTGGCTCTAACGATATGCTTGGTTGGTCTTGGTTGGTCTATATTCAGTGAGACTGGGATGTCAGAATGTTCCTAGTATCCAAATCCAAAGAAAAAAATCCAGAGGTTTATAGAGATGGCAATATTGGGATGATTTTATGTATAATTTGTATGCCCCACCCCAAACTACATAGCCCTAGAGGCCCAGATGATGTTCTCTACCCTAAAGCATTAAAAAACACATTAGAAACTGTAGCATCAGAAAAGTTCTGTGGTCACTGGATATAACGGTGAGTGATGCTTCCACTGAGATGCTCCCTGATTGCTATGAGAGTGAGATCCTGGGATGGCATTGGCCAGGGGCAGCACTCAGTTGGCAGGGACAAGTTGCTACAATGGGCAACAAGGACAAAGTAGTATCAAAGGTCTCAACCTACAGATATATTTGGTAACACCTAGGTGGCCCTAGGAATGAAATAGATGGGTAGAATTCTGAAATATTCCTTGATCTTTCTAACAGGCAAAACTCTGATAGTCTGCTGCCTTAAACCTGATTTGAGCCATCAAAATGAAAAGTCTTTGTCATCCAGTTTCCAAACCTCAGCCAGTTCACATAGAGCCCCTTGATTGAAAGGGACGCTGGTCCCCTTGAGGAAGAATTTTGCAGCATTGCCATGTATATTCAAAAAATCTTCATTCAAGCCTTCCCTAAAGGAATATGATGTCACTTATTAGGGTAACCATGCATGCAGAAAAATGAAATGCCCAATATTTCAGGGACTACTAGATACTGTTTCCAAATTATTGCTAATTCCTTAGGATCCAAAATATCCCTGGGTCCAGAAATCAAAGTGGAGACTTACAGTTGTCAGGTGTAAATGGAGTTTTCACCCAAGTATAAATCACCATGGATTCAGTAGGTTTGCAGGCCCACGCTAGCCTCAGTTCTTGAATATGTAATTAAAATACACACTCAGTAACTGGCAGAATCCCCACATTACTTCTCTGCCCCAGAGTGAAGGTTATATTGGAAGGAAGGGTCAAGTGTCAATTGTGGTCCTTCAGATTCTCTGGGACACTATAGAATCTGAGGTGCCATTCTCAGCATTCCTCCAGAAAAATGTACAGGCAAAGCCACAAAATTTGCTAGCTGCTCCCTCTCTTCTTCTTCACAGCCAAACTTCTCAAAAAAGTTGTCTTTTTCTTTCTTGTCTCCACATTCTCACCTCCTCAGCCCTTGCCAACTCCCTTGAGTGCCCCCCTCTGCCCGCAAACACAGCCACTTCAACCAACCTTACTAAGGTACATCCTGATGACATTTTATTTTTGGCCCCAAATACATTCCTTTGTCTTACACCAACCATATTTCTCCTGATCTCCAGACCCATCCAACTGCCTACTTCTCTTTTGGATATCTCAGAAAAACCCCTCACCCCACACTCAGCATGTCCAAAAAGAAATTCTCTCCGTAAATTCATTCTCCTTCTATGTTTCCCGTATCAGTAAACGACACTACCATGGACCCAGTTCAGTCTAAGAACAAAAGGTGAGGCTTGTGCAAGTCTACTCAATTATGTTTTCATCATACCTCTTAAATCTATCACTTACTCTGATCCCAGTTTACAGGACCTCACTTCAGACTAGTCTCAATATTCACCTGCCTTATTGGAATAGCCTCCTACCTGGTTTCTTCACTCCACTGGCAACACAATCTTTCTAAAATCCAAACCTGAACAAGTCACTCTGTTTCAATGGCTTTCCATTGCCTTCAGGCTATTTATAAACCCTTAGCAGGCTTGTTTGTCAAGGTCCTCCACTCTCCCCTTGCATCACTCTTCTTGCATTCTTCCAGTCACTTTGCTCAACCCTGGAAGGTGTGGTTCACATCCTAAGTGAATGGTGACTGGCTGGAGTAATGCAGCGCACACACTGTGAGACTAACCATGGTGGCCTTGCCTCCTGATACACTGTACTAAAAGCAGTTTCTCTGAGGCATGATATTTCCTCTCACTCTGAACCCTTGCATATTGCTGTTTCCTGTCTATAATTTCATCTGCCCTAATGACATCTTCATCTAGTTAATCCTACTCGTCCTTCAGATCTCAGTTTAGAAGTCACTTAGCCCAGAAAGCTCTCCCCTCCTCTCTACCTCCCAAATTTGGATTAAGAGTTTCCCTACAGTTTATGTTTAGTGCCCTCTGCTTAACCCCTATTACTGTACTTGTCCCTTGATCCTATAATAGTGTGTTTACTTTCCTGGCTCCTCTTTTAGGGCAGGGGCTGTTATTTTATTCACCTTTGTGTCTCTGGTTCCTAGATAGTGTCTGGCACAAGTATGTGTAAAGTAAATACCTTTGAATGAATGTAACTTTAAGAAAATCACTTAACCTAGCTAGATTTTAGTTTCTCATTGGTCAAATAAGGCTAAGGATGTCTCTCCTTAATGCCTTACAGAATGATATGGCAAAATGCATAAGAAAAATACATTGCAAAAAGGGAAACAAAATAAAAAATGAACAAATGGGACTACATCATGCTAAAAAGCCTCTGTACAGCAAAGGACACCGTCAGCAGAACAAAAAGGCATCCTACAGCATGGGAGAATATATTTGTAAATGACATATCTGGCAAGACATCCAAATATATATAAAGAACTCACATACCTCAACACCCAAAAAGCAAATAACCGGATTAAAAAATGGGCGGAGGATATGAATAGACAATTCTCCAAAGAAGAAATTCAGGTGGCCAACTGGCACTCCACATCACTAATTATCAGGGAAATGCAAATTAAAACCACAATGAGATATCACCTCACACCAGTTAGGATGGCCAACATAGAAAAGACTAGGAACAACAAATGCTGGTGAGGATGCAGAGAAAGGGGAACCCTCCTACACTGCTGGTGGGAATGTAAAATAGTTCAACCATTGTGGAAAGCAGTATTGAGGTTCCTCAAAAAACTAAAAATAGAAATACTATTTGACCCAGGAATTCCACTCCTAAGAATTTACCCAAAGAAAACAAGTTCTCAGGTTCAAAAAGACAATATGCAGCACTATTTACAATAGCCAAGATATGGAAGCAACCTTAGTGTTCATCAGTAGATGAATGGTAAAAGAAGATGTGGTACATATACACAATCGAATACTATTCATCCATAAGAAGAAATCAAATCCTACCATTTG